GGGTTCTAGTACTATCATGTGATTCAATGTCTAGATCGTATGAGCTACTAGACATACCACTACAGATTGACCCTCTATTGATTCCACTCACGGGTATCCTGCCTATCCATAAGCAAATGTCATAGGAGGGTTTGTCTCCACTGACGGGTAGGATATACTCATCAGTGGAGGTGTATGACTGCTGATGGATGTGGTTACTTGGACTGCCAATGGTTATGAATAACCAATGGCGGGTTATTTCAATTATAATGGCTAGTAGCTTATGTTCCAAAATTCAGTAGCTATGGCTGCAACTCCTAGAAGTGGCTGCAAATGCACACACCCTGCTAGCAATGCAACCCATACGACTACGCTTCTTAGCAGCCATAGATACCGAGATAGTACATTGCACACATATAAGTATATATGCATCCATATAACCACATTGCACATATATGTTCCCATTCACAACAAAGTCATAATATTTAACATTCTCATCTAAATATAATAAGACTTGAAACTCATAAATCCATAGTTAACGTCTATAAGTTCAACATTCCCATGTTACACATAATAAGATCATAACCAACATCTATAAGTTCAAATAAAGAACATTTATTTTTTTGGTTACGTCCACGCCCTCGTGTATAGTAGATTCGATGTATCCGCCTCTTCATGTGGGACCGGACACGACGGTGCCACAAGATGCCAATCTCATGCTAGCCAGCCAGACTACACCAAATGTATTCATGTTGAAAAGATTATACCTTAGAGAGGGGGTTGGGAATAAACCATTCAAGTCTGGTGTTACACCCTCCATGATATATGTTCAACTTTTCATGTTAATCGCCAAGGCAAGTAGCAGTGACAATGCCATTGGTCCTTACTCCAACCGGGTAATTGAAATGCCACTTACTTCTATTTTATGAAATGATACTAAAATGTAAACCCTCATGGAACACATAGATTAAGGAAATCAATATGACATACATATTTTCAAAATACGGGTAATTCAAAAGAATGTATCTGGAGGGTGGATAGACAGATATAACTATCCTACCAAATTATGGTCCAAAAGGCATGAGCATAGATCTAGTACAAACTGGAGGCGTGGATAAGATTTATTTGTGAAGTGCCACTAAAGTCAAAGAGCATCACCGCCACTACATTTTAGTTGCGCCACACAAAAGTTTCTTTCAAAAAAGTGTTTTCTGTAGTACACTAAAAGTGATAGTTGTAGTACACTAAAAGTGATAGTTTCAAGGGGAAATATATCCATGTTTGCATAAAATAAACTATATATTTGATTTACTTCCAGTAGCACAAAAGCACAGCATTGAAGGTCTTTCCGAGGGAGAAGGGATAGAAGAATTGTTAGCGAGGCATCTTAGATTCATAATGACCCTTATATACTGCATAATGCATGATGAATCTGCACTTACAACCAAGTCAAGACACACTGGTCTACAACACTCACAACCAAATAAATCAACGGCATCAATATGCAAGTGCAGCCATATGATCACCCCTATTTACCGCTTGTTCATATGACCACCATAAGTAGATTTAACTGATAGCAGAAATGCACAAGTACGTCCACAAATCCATATGGCCACCACTATCACAAAGGATAGCTATGCATAGAGTACAAGATAACACAACACTTCATCATCTGAACATGACACATAGCATGTACAGAAGGCAGAAGGAGGGCCATGGAGCCCATCCATCGTAGTTGTAGATGGAGGAAGGCCCGTCAGACACAATGGTAACTTATCGCCCTGGAAAAGTCAGACCTAAAAAAGTTGCCACACCGTTATTATGGCGTTGACATTGTATTGGTAACTTTTGATACCAATACCGGTGGCAACTTCATAAAACACCGGGTGAAAAGTTTATAGTGATTTTTTCCCGATAATCCATACTCACTATCGAAGCTGTCGTTCCACAAAGCCAACAGTTAAAATTGATAAGGTTTATTTTTTTCACTCTCTAAATCAAGTTTTAATAAGTTGATGACATCAGTTTCATCTGCCCCACCTTGCAATTTCACTTTACCTCATATGTGGTCATTTGTTTTTTGCATATAAATTGATTGGATTGCTATAGTGCAAACTCGTACATATTGACAGCCTAGGAACACGTCCTGCTCCAGCCCCCTTGCGCGGACGTTTACACATTTTATTTTCCAATTTAAAAAATGGTTTGTGTTTGACTTGCCTGAGACAGGTTTTTCTGACTTGTCATGAATGTTGTGTCTTATATAGTTCTTCTTAGCGTCGATTGCCACTTTAATTAGTACTTGCATTGATTTGTTCTTAGCAATAAACGGTCAAATTCAGGATAGCCATTGCCTTGACGGCTTGTTTTTGTATGGGGTGGGTTGATCTCTGTCGGTGATTAATTAGGTTGCGTTTGGATGTGTAGCTTATCTATCTTGCTCGTTTGGGCATTTCCTATAAAAGCAAGACATGTTGCTCGGTTAGTACTCTCCATGAGCACGCGAGGTGTAGGCAGTTGGAGGACACTTTCATTCTCTTTCCCATGCTAGAGAGCCAATCCTACTCTTCTCCTTGGATTAGGGTTCTAGAGTCAGGTATTGACTATATTGCCTAACAGAGCCAGATTTTCACGAGGTACTAAACGTCTGACTTTGTCTAATGTGGCTAGTATCGTTCTAGCCCAAGATCCAAACACACACTTAGGGCTCTATTGACTCAAAGGAAATCCATAGGATTTTTAGAGGATTCGAACCCTTATATTTTTTTCCTATGGTGGCCGTTTGATTCGCAGGATTGGAATCCTTAGGAATTTTTTCATAGGATTCATTTGTGCAATTTCGAGGAGGATTCATTTGTGCTTCATTTTGGATGAAAATTTCCATCCACTCAAACTTTTTGGAAGAATTCCTCCATTTTTTCTGTGCTATTAAACACTCTTCCGCCCAAATTCATATATTTTTGTAATCATATAGGATACAAGAGGACATGCCACTCTATTGCTGCGTTTTCCTATTCTCGTGTTTTGAGAATCCTACAAATCAAAGGCCCTGAGTGCGTCGATGCATAACACTCAAGCACTCCTAGTACAAGTTGCTCCTTGTGTATTTACGTCTGCGAGTTCCTCTTCTTGCCCAGCAATCGCTATTGTCCCCTCACCACATCATGGTGAACTAGTCATCGGTCACACACTTTAAGTCGAAGATCATGGTCTCCCTTCTTTGAATAGGGAGCGGTAGTATTTTGATGGATTGATTACTTGGTCGTCTTTTTTAGTAGACATGTGGGAGGTAATGGTCAATCATGGAAGAGAAATGGATCAATGATGCTCCCAAAATGTCGCGGCAATATGCACGCGGCACATCTCGTATAGTATAAATCTATAAATGGACCAACAGATGATCATAAGACTCGCTCCTTAACCTCATCAAAGGGTGAGTCACACATGAACAACTGGTGATCGCTCTAGCTAGTTAGCCATGCGTATCAGCAAGACGATAATTATTGTGTCCACCTTACTCATGCGACCCAGTTCATCAATTTGTTTGACCTGATTAAATGATGGAGTATAGCTCGAGCTTTTGATTATATCTGTAATTATCTAGCTATATTGGATAATCAAAATCTGCTGTTAGAGAGAGAAGACACGGTTGTTTGTGTATAAAAGCCGTTGGTAGGAAGAGCTAGGGATCACACACACATAAGTACATCTATCAAAGCTAGTAGCTTTCAATTTACTTGCAGTGAAGTTGGGTAGCTAGCTTAAGCTCTAGCAAGGTGGCAAGATGACGCTTAAGCTCTTGGCGGAAGTGAGCCCGCAGGAGTTGCTCGTAGCTCTTGCGGAGCTCCAGAACCACGTGCTCGGCTACGTCAAGTCCATGTCGCTCAAGTGCGCCGTGGACCTCGGCATCACCGACGCCATCCACCGCCGCGGCGGCACCGCCACCCTGGCCGACATCGCAGCCGACACGAAGGTGCACCCGGCCAGGGTCGCCGACCTCCGGCACGTCTTGGAGCTGCTCAGCGAGTCGGGCATCTTCAGCGCCACCGCCTGTGCTCCCAGCAGGAGATGGCGAGCAAAGACGCCGGGTTCAACTTCAACCGCGTCCTGAACGATGTGGGAACCGTCAGTCCCTCGCCGCTGCCCTCCTTTCTCTGTTGCCGTGGCTCGAACCAACGAAGAAGAAAGGGAAAAAGGAGGAAGAACAGGGACACGGCAAGGATTTTCCGACCCACGAACGCCTTCAACCTTGAGCTCGAACTCAAGCAACAAAACCCCACAGCTGTTATAACGGCCCTCGCGTGACTTTATACGCGAGCCAGCGCACCGGTCATGACCCACGCCTCCACTCCCTCCTGATCACTCACACCCCGCTTGCTCCGTTCGTGCCAGCGTCGCGCTCCGACACGCGCACCCCACGGCGAGCTCCAAAAGCCGCGCCCTTGATGAGCCACACGACTCGCCAACAGCTGCTCCTAAACCCACGCACACAACGCACACCCACATGTACACGCCCGTGCTGCACCTGCACACACACACACACTCCCTGCCGCGGACCCGACGCGCCCAGCACGCCTGGCGTGCCCATACACGCACCCGACGCGGTGAGCTCGTCGCCGCGGCTTATTACATCCAACACTCGCGCCCTAATCCGCGACTCAGAGCAGCCCGGTGTCCTCGACGTCGTCCACGAGCAGGGCTCGCTCTGTCGCTGGCGCCTTCTTGAGCTGCGAGCACTCGCGCTTGAAATGTCCGCGTTCGCTGCACTTGTAGCACCGTCCCCGCCGGTTGCCGCCGAGGCCCGAAGCTTCGTTGCGCACGTCATCGTCGTCGTCCCACGCTCCACCTCGCCGCTGCTCCCGCACCCGCCATTGTGCCGCCGTGTACAGCAGCTCGCCGCCTGCCTACCTGCGCCGACGCAGCCGCTCGTCAAACGCCTTCAGGCGTCCCAACGCATCCTCGAACAGCAGCGTCGAGAGGTCACAGAACTGCTCCATCCCGGCGACCGCTGCGTACAAGCGATCCGGGACGCAGTCCAGCAGCTTCTTCATCATCGCCGAGTCGTCGAAGGTTGCTCCCAGCCCGGCGTAGCGCGCCGCCATGCCGCTGATCTTCCCGACGAAGGCGTCCAGCGACTCCCCACCGTCCATCCGCAGGAGTTCGAACTCGCTGCGCAATGTGCCCAGCCACGCTGCTCGGACGCGATCGGCCCCGACGAACCGGGCCTTGAGGCTGCTCCAAATCTCCGCCGCGGTCTTCTTCGCGGCCACCTGCAGCAGCAGATCGTCGGCGAGCACCCGGAGCAGGTAAGCCCGCGCCGGCTTATCCTCGTCAGATCGGCCTCCACCTTGATGGCCGAGGTGGTGTAGTTCTCCCCCGTGAGTACATGTGCTGGATGCGACACTGGACTGCCCGCACCGCCGCCGTACGGGACGATCGACGTCGCCGGCGCGCCCTGACTTTCACGTGGCTCTGATGCCAATTGTTGGAACCGCCAGTCCCTCGCCGCTGCCCTCCTCTCTCTCTCTCTTACCGTGGCTCGAACCAACGAAGAAGAAAGGGAAGAAGGGGGACAAACAGGGCCACGGCAAGGATTTTCCGGCGCACGAACGCCTTCAACCTTGAGCTCGAACTCAAGCAACAAAACCCCGCAGCTGTTACAACAGCCCTCGCGTGGCTTTATACGCGAGCCAGCGCACCGGGCATGACCCACGCCTCCACTCCCTCCTGATCGCTTGCGCCCCGCTCGTTTCGCTCGTGCCCACGTCACGCTCCGATGCGCGCGCCCCATGGTGAGCTCCAACGGCCACGCCCTCGATCAGCCATACGACTCGCCAACAGCTGCTCCTAAACCCACGCACACCCGCATGAACACGCCCGTGCTGCACCTGCACGCACACACACACTCTCTGCCGCGGACCCGACGCACCCAGCACGCCTGGCGCGTGTCCATACACGCGCCTAACGCGGTGAGCTCGTCGCCGCGGCTTATTACACCCAACAAACGACGCCATAACCGCGGACAGCGAGCTCTTCCTCGAGGTCATCTTTCTGGATAAATGCCGCATCCTCTGCGGCCTGAGCTCGCTCGTGGACGGCGGCGGTGTTGGCGCTGCCTCTCCTTGCAGCGCCGCTCCTTCTTCTACCTCTGACTACTTTTCCTTTTGTGGTTTCTCTCAAACACACATTCATGGAAGAAACTCACAGGAAACACACACGCCAAGGAAGAAACCTGCTGCTAGCTTTGCCGGGAGGCTCTCTCCTTGGTTAACACAATGGCTACATTTTCTCACCAGCCCTCACGGCCTTCTTTTCCATTGCTCAATGTGACATATATATACACAGAAGGGCACACAGCCAGCCATAACGTCCGGCCATCACGCAGGCACTAACCGGCCATCATAAACGGCCACTAACAGCACGTCCTTCATGCACTAACTAGTCCTATCTACATGCACGTACTACTAACTGCCTTATCCTACTCCTAGCTAGAATCACTCCAGCAGCCACAAGACTCGGCCATATCTAAAACCAATTCCACGTCTCAACGTGACCTACTACTACCATGCAGCTAATCACCTACGCATGCATTGGCTACTTGATCAACACAACAGCCGAAAACTTGCCATATCACCTGACTTACTTGGTCATACTTTAGCCCATCACACTTCAGCCTTCGTCGCGCCTTGCCACTTCACGCAGCACCACGGCTTCACGCCGCCTCGGCATCTCACCATACTCGCCACGTCGCACGGCATCCCGGCATCTCACCTTCTACGCGTGCTCAACCAAAGTTTCGACGACTAGCTACTCCTAGACCATCTAAGTTACATGCATAACAAAAACAAACTAAATGCTGATACAATAATATCAAGATCAAGGAGTGATCGCCAAGGCGTACCCGCGCATCGAGTGCACCGTGCTGGAGCCTGGACTGGACCTCCCTCACGTTGTGGGCCAGGCGGCTGGTGACCATGATAATCTCCGTTTCGTCGCGGGTGACATGTTTGAATCCATTCCACCCACGGATGTTGTCTTGCTCAAGGTATGTCTATGTACCCCATCGACATCACCTAGTGTTGATGTGGTCTCATCCTGTTGTACCATTAATTGGCGGGTCCCAAATATTCCCTTCGATTTCATAATGTAGTAGAGTGCATATAGATTTTCTGAAAAATCAAACTAAATAAATTTTGACCGAGTTTATAGAGGAAACTATTTATACATATAATTCAAACATACAAAACATGAAAATATGACTGATGATGTATCCAGTGATATGTATTTGGTATCTTAAATGTACATATTTTTGTCTATAAACATGGTTTAAGTTTGTAATGTTTGACTTTTGAAAAAAAAATCTATACACACTACATTATGAAACGAGTAGTCTAAGACCTTTTTTGTTTCTTTCTTATTGTTTCCTTTATCTTATTTCATTCACTGAACCGTCCATATTTTTCGTTAAAGATTTTTCTCTGTTGCTTCTTATAGTGCAATCAATGTTTTAGTTTTCCTCCTTCGCTAAACTGCTCATTGTCTTCTTTTTTTCTTCTAAATTGTTTCTTTCTATTTGTTCTAGAACATCATGCATGACTGGGGTCATGAGGATTGCGTCAAAATACTTCAACGTTGCAAGGAGGCCATCCCCGTCAAGAAAGCTGGAGGGAAGGTGATGATCATAGATATGGTGAGAGGGTCTACAGATGGCGATAGAAAGATCAGTGAGATGGAAGCCTTACAGAACATGTTCGCAGTGTGCATCAATGGGGCGGAACGGGACTTGAGTGAGTGGAAAATGATCTTTTCTAATGCTGGATTCGGTGACGACTACAAGATCATGCCGGTGCTGGGTCCCTACTCAGTCATAGAGATCTACCCACGAAAGCTTTGCATGGCGAACTATACCTTATTATAATGAACACAATATGTTGCACGCGTATACCTAAACCCGAACATGTTTCATTGGTATGTTTGTGCATGAATCCTGTGTCACTAGTAGAAAACAAGGCTTTGGTTCAGACCAGGCCAACCCATTAGTCCCGATTCAGTCACGAACCGGGACCCATGGTGGCAACGGTCCCGGTTCGTGAGGCCAGAGGGCCGGCCGAGCCTTGTGGGGCATTGGTCCCGGTTTGTCTGGATCCTTTGGTCCCGGTTCCAGACACGAACCAGGACCAATGGACATCGCTCCTGACCGACAACCATTGGTCCCGGTTCGTGGCTGGAACCGAGACTAAAGGACCAATGAGATGCCTATATATACCTCCTCGCCCACGAGCAGAGCACTCCACTGCTCTGCTTTCCTGGCCAGCCGTTGAAGAGCATTGTGGTGCTCTAACTCACCTCCTATGCACAGGAGGTGTTCGATGAAATGCCCGAGCCATACTTAAGCTTTCTCCTCTCCAAGCTCCTTGTCCAGGCTCCATTTTCCTCGAGATTTGTCTAGATTTGGCGGTCTATCCTGTCCCGTCCTCGTCCTCACCGCCGTCGATCGCCCGCGCCGATCTCGTTGCCGGCACAACCGTGGTGAGCCTCTTGATCTTATCTTCTTTCTAAAAGATAAAAGTTCTTACCTTGTATGATTTACATAGATACTTGTGTAATTTTCTTACTTTTATTATTGTTTATTATTATACAGTGCGATGGTTTTGGTATCCGCCTCCGTCGGCCCTCGTCCTGTCTATAATTCGGATGTGGTATATATTATCTTTTATAACTATTTGGTTCATTTATTGTTTATGATAATTATGCCGACCAAAGTGACATAGATTTTTTTTATCTAGGAGGTATGTGAACCGAAAATTCCAACCGACCCTATTGTCAAGAGGTTAAATTTAGTTGAAGAAGAAAACAATTAATTGAAGGAAAAATTAAAAAAAATTGAGGAGGAGAAGATGATATTGGAGTTGCATGTTGCGGATGTCGTCGATGATCACAAGATCAAGATGGATGCAATGCGCTTGAAGATTAGAAAGATTAGAAAATATGCCATTCACACCGAGGCTTGGTATCATTATGCCGTTGGATCAATTGTTACCTTGATTGTGATTATGATCGCATTTGTTGTTGCATTGAAATGTTTCACATAGTTTGAATGTATGGTTTAATTAGATGCTCTGGAGAGGTATATGTTGTTCAATGAGAACTATGTATGTACTTTGGTTTTAATGTGATGATGAACTTCTATTAATTTGGTCACTTATCTATTCATGATGTTTTGTAATGGTTTTTGACACACTTAATTATATAT